GGACAGTTTACAGAGTCTTGTCGGACCCCTGAAGGAGCTAACCGGAATCAATGTCGGGACAGTTTATGGGGTCATGTCGGACCGATGAAGGAGCTAACCGGAATCAATGTCGGGACAGTTTATGGGGTCATGTCGGACCGATGAAGGAGCTAACCGGAATCAATGTCGGGACAGTTTATGGGGTCATGTCGGACCGATGAAGGAGCTAACCGGAATCAATGTCGGGACAGTTTATGGGGTCATGTCGGACCGATGAAGGAGCTAACCGGAATCAATGTCGGGACAGTTTATGGGGTCATGTCGGACCGATGAAGGAGCTAACCGGAATCAATGTCGGGACAGTTTATGGGGTCATGTCGGACCGATGAAGGAGCTAACCGGAATCAATGTCGGGACAGTTTATGGGGTCATGTCGGACCGATGAAGGAGCTAACCGGAATCAATGTCGGGACAGTTTATGGGGTCATGTCGGACCGATGAAGGAGCTAACCGGAATCAATGTCGGGACAGTTTATGGGGTCATGTCGGACCGATGAAGGAGCTAACCGGAATCAATGTCGGGACAGTTTATGGGGTCATGTCGGACCGATGAAGGAGCTAACCGGAATCAATGTCGGGACAGTTTATGGGGTCATGTCGGACCGATGAAGGAGCTAACCGGAATCAATGTCGGGACAGTTTATGGGGTCATGTCGGACCGATGAAGGAGCTAACCGGAATCAATGTCGGGACAGTTTATGGGGTCATGTCGGACCGATGAAGGAGCTAACCGGAATCAATGTCGGGACAGTTTATGGGGTCATGTCGGACCGATGAAGGAGCTAACCGGAATCAATGTCGGGACAGTTTATGGGGTCATGTCGGACCGATGAAGGAGCTAACCGGAATCAATGTCGGGACAGTTTATGGGGTCATGTCGGACCGATGAAGGAGCTAACCGGAATCAATGTCGGGACAGTTTATGGGGTCATGTCGGACCGATGAAGGAGCTAACCGGAATCAATGTCGGGACAGTTTACTGAGTCTTGTCGGACCCTTTAAAACGTCGCACCCTCAAAAGGTGTGCCCAATCTTTCAAAAGGCGTGCCATCAAAAGGCGTGCCCAATCCATAAAAAGGTGTGCCATCAAAAGGCGTGCCCAGTTTGGCGTCGAGCGCCGAGCGGCGCATGATGCGCGTGTCTGCCTTGGCTATAAGACGGAGGCTGAGGCTGAGGCGAAGACAAACAACTTGCGAAGAAAAACTTCTGAAAAAAAAAAGTCTGCGTTTGCGGAGAGAGAAACTCTGTAACACTCTGGAACACGCTGTAACCAACCCTTCTCTGAAACACTCAGCAACCCATAACATGGCCTCTTCTTCCCGTCCAGCTACCCAGAACATGGCATCCTCTTCCCGTGGTTTGCTCACGCTCTTTCCAGAACTGAACGAGTCCACAAGAGAAATAACTGGGGCGGTGGCCAGTGAACCTCAACCAAACACCTCTGGTTTTGCTCCGTTGAACTTTCCGATGCGGTCGGTGGAGCAAAAAATGGCGGTGCAAACTGATATTGAGGCCAATCAGTATACTCTGAAGTCATGTGTGGAAAATTATACAAAACCATTATTATCATTCAAGACCACTCTTAATCAACCCCTTTTCGTAACCAAGCTCTTCGTCACCTACATATATATATATACGCATGTATAAGGATGCGCGAGCAGAGATAAGTGTGCTAAAGGCGGAAAACAAGGAGCTGAAGCGGAAGGCCACCGTGATGTTCCGATTTGGAGGTCCGCCATATGCTGCAGTGAAGGAGTACGGGGGAGTGAACGTGCTCGGTGGACTAGGAAGCACTAAGGCAACACCGTCAAGGGCCGCCCAGGACGGAGGCAAGAAGAAAAGACCGGCGGAAGAGGCGAAGAAGTGAGGTCGGTGGGTGGCCGTCTGCAAAAAAAAAGAAAACAAATCTTTGGTTGTTGTTGTGATGGGGGTCTTGGCTTTTTTTATTTATTTTATTTTATTTTATTTTATTTGGTTGTGGTGTAAAATGGTGATCGGGGTTGATCCCGGACATGAATAAAGGACAAGTTTGTGGAATGAAAAACGAGTTGGTTGTGAATGTTTTTTTTTTTGTTAAGAATAATAAGAATAATAATAAAAAAATATATTAATGGGGAAAGCATGTGCGCTGGTGGGTGGAATAAATTAAGGCAAATGAGGGATATGATTAAAGTGAGTCTGGTGGAGAGAAAAATGGACCAGAGAGAGAGGGAGTGGGTTGATTAAAAAAAAAAATGTTTTCATCATAAAGTGCACGTGTGTCTGTCAAGCCCGTGGGTGTGTGTGTGAGTGTGTGGTGTGTTGGGTGTGTGGAGTGTGTCCTCTCTCTCTCTAAACCGTGTGTGTGTTGTGTGTCTGCTGTGAGTGCCGTGGGTGGCTGAGTGAGTATTGTGTGCTGTGTGTGTCTTAGAGAGAGAGAAGCCTAGAAATCTAGAGAGAGAAGAGAGCTGGGTTTGGTGTGTGTGTCTGGTGTGTTTTCCGGAAGAGAGAGTTGCCGAGAGGGAGAGAGCTGCCATGCATATGTGTGTGTATGCCGAGAGGGAGAGGTGATGGGTGTGTGTTCTTTCAGTGTGAGAGAACTGGGTTTGGTCATTGGTTTGGGGAGAGAGCAACACCCCAAAACCGAGAGAGAGAATGTTAGCAGACGAGCAGTGCGTGAGAGCTACAGATCATGGTCGGTGGTGGTGGTGGATTTGCATCTGGGTCTTGCGGTTGAGGACAGGCAGCGGCGGCACCATCGACGTGGCAAATGTGGAGAAGGACGATGGATGATGGTGGCGACAGTGGTTGGTTCGAAGCTGCCGTTGTTAATTTGTGCCTCGAGAAAAATGTCCTTATGAAGAGAGATCAAGAGAGAAAGAGAGAAAGTCGAGAGATCCCTTCCTTTACAGGTGGCGTTGCATGTCTAAATATGAATGATATGTATTTTGGGGTAGCGGAGTGAAAGTATGTGTAGAGGTCCGGCGGGCGGCCAAGGCGAGGCTGCCGCCTGCCGGTGAAGCGGAATTACTAAGTTGTTAACCTTGCTCTAATACCATGTAAGATAAATTGATAGAAAGAGAATTAATTGTATGTATTATTGATTGATTATCTGTTTTGATGTATTGTATGTACATTATATAGGAGATGGAGATGTGAAGTGGAGGTGGAGTGGTAGAGTAGGTGAAGTGGAGTGTGTAGGGGAGTAGGTGAAGTGGAGGTGGAGTGGTGTAGTGGGTTAGGTTTAGTGGAGTAGGTTTAGGTGTACATTAACATGTTTAACGGATTATATCAGATGGAATTATTAGTACAGTAGGATTGAACAAAAAAATTATTATTGTAATGATATTAAGTTAAAAATATAAGATAAATTGTATGTATTTATGTAACAGTATGATGATATTAGTTGGTTTGAAAATATATAAAATTATGTAAAATTTTCATTATATAAAAGATAACTTTGTTATTTTTGTAAAATGAGATACAAAACAATCATTTCATATCTAATCATGAGATTGAATTTGAATAGCATCTTCCCATAAGATTGCTAATCCCCACACAAGAGGAACATGTAGTCCATGACCATTTCTGTAAACAAACATGAATTATGTGGGACTCACAGGATTAGTAATCCAATCCCGTGGACTATGGTGGAAAATAAAAGGTAGTGAATCTGAATCTCTAATCACTAAGGTAACTGGATGACCAGGCTTGGACTGTCCAATTTATTTTACGGTCTCATCATAGAATCATCTCAATAATTCGAATATTTAATTTTATAAAATTTTCTAAGCAAAGTATCTCTATTAAAATCAAATTAATTGAATATCAATAACTATTATTTTTTAGACAAATACAATTCAAAGTAGCTCTTTATATTTTAATTAATATGATTTTTTATACAAATAATCTATTTTGTAAGTTTCAATAAGGAGAAGTTATTGATTAGTCTTGAATCCTGTCCCATGATGTTCCAATAGTATTGTGATTAATAGAGAAATAAGACTTATGAATTTGTATCGCATAATTAAAAAATATAAAATTATATAATAAATTATAATTAATGTAGAAGATGACCACGCGACCGTGCAAGACTAAGCCTCTGTTTGGCAACATAGGTTTTGGGCTTTTTTGGCTATTTTAGCCACAAAAGACAAAATAGGCTATTTTAGCCACAAAAAACAAAATATCACATCCAACCCATAATCATTACACTCTTCTCTCACAAAAAAAGCTAAAAAAGCCAAAAAGCCAAAAAGCCCTTCCCAAACCAAGCTTTTTAGCCCAGGCTAAAATAGCCAAAAAAGCCAAAAAGCCAAAAAGCCAACCCACTTCCCAAACCAACCCTAACTAATAAGTTTTCCCTAATGAGAGGAATGGTTTGCCTTGTCAAGAAAAGCATGAGATGAATCCACACAATGGAGATACTCAACTAGTGAGGATCCAGTACCAGGTGGGCTAAAGCCAGGACAATTGGGCTTCTCACCCTAAATTTGAATATTGACACGTCAGCACATGGCTTAAATTTCACAGAAACTCCATGATACCTTCTGTCCGCAGCAATGTTAGGTATCGCAAAAAAAAATATATATTAAATTTTTTATGATGATATTCATAAAAAAAAAAAATGAAAAAAAAATTTTAATGTTCCCGACTTTCCGTCTGTCCCTTGTGTTTTATCATCAGACTGTGAGGTAGAAATGGATAGAACCCTCCACATGAGCATGCGTATGAGGTCCTCTTTTCTCTTCCCAAAAGATAACACAATCACTCACTCTCTCTCTCCACCACTCTCTCTCTAAACTCCCCTCCCTCTCTCTCCTCCACCACCACCACCACCACCACCACCACCATGGCAGCAATTTCAGCAGCAGCAACATCAACACCTTCCTCAAAGCTCATATACCCTTCATTACCCTCCTCCTCCTCCACCACCCCCACCACTATTCCACTCTCAAACCCCACTCTCCGTACAAAGCTAATCCTCTCCTCCACCTCTTTCATCACTAACCCAGCTCTCTTCTTAACTCCCACCCCCACGCGCCACCACCGCCGCCGCTCCCTCACCGTCCGCGCCGCCCGAGGCAAGTTCGAGCGCAAAAAGCCCCACGTCAACATCGGCACAATCGGCCACGTCGACCACGGCAAAACCACCCTCACCGCCGCCCTAACCATGGCCCTAGCCTCCATGGGCAACTCCGCCCCCAAAAAGTACGACGAGATCGACGCCGCCCCGGAGGAACGAGCTCGCGGCATCACCATCAACACCGCCACCGTAGAGTACGAGACCGAGAACCGCCACTACGCCCACGTCGACTGCCCCGGCCACGCCGACTACGTCAAGAACATGATCACCGGCGCCGCCCAGATGGACGGCGCCATCCTCGTCGTCTCCGGCGCCGACGGCCCCATGCCCCAAACCAAAGAACACATTTTGTTAGCCAAACAGGTCGGAGTCCCCAACATGGTTGTGTTCCTCAACAAACAAGACCAGGTCGATGACGAGGAATTGCTTCAATTGGTCGAATTGGAGGTTCGTGAACTCTTATCTTCTTATGAATTTCCTGGTGATGATGTTCCGATTATATCTGGTTCGGCTCTTTTAGCTTTAGAAGCTTTAATGGCAAACCCTAGTATTAAAAGAGGGGAAAATCAATGGGTTGATAAGATTTATGAGTTAATGGATTCTGTTGATAGTTATATCCCAATTCCCCAAAGACAAACTGATTTGCCCTTTTTATTAGCTGTTGAGGATGTGTTTTCGATTACGGGTCGTGGGACTGTTGCCACCGGGAGGGTCGAAAGGGGTATGGTTAAGGTCGGTGAGACGGTAGATTTAGTGGGTTTGAAGGATACTAGGAATACTACTGTGACTGGGGTTGAGATGTTTCAGAAGATTCTTGATGAGGCTATGGCTGGTGATAATGTGGGTTTGTTGTTGAGAGGTATTCAAAAGGCTGATATTCAGAGAGGGATGGTTTTGGCTAAACCCGGGACTATTACGCCCCACACGAAGTTTGAAGCGATTGTGTATGTGTTGAAAAAGGAAGAAGGCGGGAGGCATTCTCCGTTTTTCGCGGGTTATAGGCCTCAATTTTACATGAGGACTACTGATGTCACTGGGAAGGTGACCTCTATCATGAATGATAAGGATGAGGAGTCGAAGATGGTTATGCCCGGTGATCGTGTCAAGATGATTGTTGAGCTTATTATGCCAGTGGCTTGCGAGCAGGGAATGAGGTTTGCTATCAGAGAAGGAGGGAAGACTGTCGGAGCTGGCGTTATTCAGTCCATTATCGAGTGATGCCCAAGTTGAGCTTCTTTGTTCTTCGCTTTTGTATGGTTGCAAAGTTCATATCTTTTAACTTTCTGAAACTTTTTTTTTTTTTTTTTTTTTTTTCTCTTTTCTGTTTTACAGAACATCTTGAATCCCAATGTCATATATGCTGCATTGTTTGGTTAATTGCTATGCCTCTTAGTTTAGTTTAGCTGGACAATGTTCTTATGATGATTTAATGTGATGTACTTTTTTGTTGTCTCTTGCTTTGGATGTTGTTGAGCTATGGATGATCACAAAGTGATCAAAACTTTTGATCGCTTGAAGAGATTGAGAACATTTTGCAACTTTTGGCCATGTTAATTTTCCATGTAAACTAATTTTTATTTTCTCTAGGCTATGTTTGGATTTTGTATTTGTGGAGGGAAAAGTGAATGAAGTAAGAGTTAAATTATTTAGGCATCCACATAAATTGGTGGGTGCTTACCATTTATGCCTAGCACTCTATCGAGGATACTAATTCATGTGCTCAATTGGTTTGGCTTCTACTCTAAACCCTTGAATTGGTATGAGGGTAATTTGGATCTAATATACAATACTTGCGCTAAATCTCTGCTCCATTAGGTTATAATGCACTTCTGTTTTTTCATATTGATGAAGTAAAAACCACAATTTGAATTGGGAATGAAGGTAAACTATATAGATAAGGAAATATCTTGGGTTAGAGCTTTTTAGCAATTATGTTAGTTTTGTCTTGAGCTCATAAAATGGCTGGATTTTTATTTTTATTTGTTTAACATCAGGGCTTATGATGAAAGGTATCGTGTAATGGTTAAGTAATCAAGTTGTATATAGAAAATGTGAAGTTCAGTATAATTTTTACTTTTGCGCAATTTAATGTTATCTACTAAGTTTTTGTTGCATGATAATCATTAACCGGTCGTTACCTTTTGATGATTAATTTTTGCATGCTCTTGGGCCTTTACAAGCTATCTATCTCCACAGACCAGACGCCTACTGTAAGCCTTATAAATTTACAAGTAAACCTGTACTTTAGTTAAGCTTTTCTTAGTGTCATGGGGGAAGAAGTCTCTCATCTTTAGATGGGTTGCCCTTTTCTATTTTGTTTCATTTTCTTTTAATGGAGTGCATTTACTCTCTCCCTCTCATCTATAGAGTGGTTGCTCTTTTCTATTTTGTTTCATTGTCTTTTAATGGAGTACATTTCCTCTCTATCTCTCTCACAGTTTACTTGCTCATTGCGTTAACATCACTTTGTACTCATCCTTATCAGTGCTATAATAAGAACTGCACTGTTTGTTACAAATCCTGTCCTCTTCGATAGGGAATGGTGGACAGGCTGATTAGTCGAATCGAAAAATCTGTGAGAAACACTGTTGGGTGTCAAATATGAATGCATGAGGTGACATGGGAGTGGCCTGGGCAGATTTTGGTTGAGTGCTAAGATATTCTTCAAAAAAAAAAAATTTCCATTGATATAATACGATGTTTAGCGAAGCATATACATAAGTTATTTATTTATCAGAGTTCTCCTTACTGTTATATTGTTAGCTGCTCTTATTCCATCATAGCAAGCTTTTGAAGCATATTTAAGGTTGCTATGCAAATATTTCAAGTGCCACCCCCTTTGGTTGTCTGAAAATAAGGTTCATTTATCGATCTTGTATTAAGTCGTCAAGGAGGTTATTTAAAGTGATGATCTTGCTAATTTTATAATTCAATCGGACAGATAGATCTTGAACTTAGTATTACATTGTTATTGGCACTTTATGAAGTGGCTTTTTGTATTCTCTATTGCTTAGCACTCTCTCTCTGTGTTAATCATTCTTGGAACGTGGTTTACAATGTGCTAGTCATTTGTTAACACACGATCATATCTGAGAGGCAAAATCCTCCCCTGGCTACTTTCGGTTTGTCCATGGTAATACCATGCAAATTACTGTAATTGGTCGATCATTTTCTCAGTGCCGTAGAATCTTGCTGAGTTCTTTAATTGTTTTGGTCATATGATTAATTATATTGTGCTATAGCTATATTTATGTCATCTGTTGCTTATGGAAATGAAGTTTTTCACTTCTGTGTCTTAAGGTTCCTTGATTTATCGTCCATGGTCCTTGATATTAATTGATTGTGGATTCCTGACATTAGGGGTGTAATTGATTTGGTTAAAAAGTTCATCACTGAATTCACTCGAGTCGCCTTCAGTTTTGCTGATTGAGAATTGAAATCAATCACATGCTGCTAATTGGTTTGTGTTGGTTTTCTGTTTGGTTTGTGGCTGTTTTCGATTAATTTAAAGGAGATTCACTAGATGCTTTAAGGGGCCGTTTGTTTTTTAGAAGTAGAATGGAAGAAATTCATATGTAAAATTATATTTGTTTTGATGATAGTTGTTAGTATAGAGACTGTTAAATTATTTTTATATAAAATAATAAAATAAATAAATAAAAATACAAAAACATTAAACATTAATGTTCAAAAAAAATATCCGACATGTAAAAAATAAAAAATATATATATAAAAAAAATTTAGTCCGGTGGACTATTTTCTAATACCAAGTCCTAAGCTCTCATCTTAATCCCCTCTTCAAGACCTATCCTAATCTGAAGGGGATTATGAATCTCCTCTTCATCTCTCAAAACAAATATTAGTGGATTTCATTTGGGGGATTTGGTCATAGCCCCCTCACTATCTAATTTCTCTTTCAAAAGGACAAGAATTATATAAGTACTTTCAAAACCCCTTGATATTTTAAAACTTGTTTCTTTTACTATATTACCCTCATATCTATCAGCTCTCCTATTAAGACATTTTCACTATGTATTTCAGAGTAAAATTTTACTCTGTATGAAAGTAAAATTTTACTCTGAATGAGAGAGAAATTTTACGCTCTGAAACTAAAAGTAAAATTTTACTCTGTATAAAAGTAAAATTTTACTCTGAAAAATAAGTAAACTGTAAGATTCTGAAACTAAAAGTAAAATTTTACTCTACATCATTCTCTCTACATTTTCACTATGTATTTCAGAGTAAAATTTTACTCTGTATGAAAGTAAAATTTTACACTCTGAAACTAAAAGTAAAATTTTACTCTGTATAAAAGTAAAATTTTACTCTGAAAAATAAGTAAACTGTAAGATTCTGAACCTAAAAGTAAAATTTTATTCTGTATAAAAGTAAAATTTTACTCTGTATAGAAGTAAAATTTTACTATGATTCTGTCAAATGAAAAAAACAGAGCAATAGAATCAGAGTAAAATTTTACTCTGGTTCTATCAAATGAAATTTGATATTTACTCTGAAAAATCGATGAAACTTTGAGCTATGAGCTTTGAATCAGGCCTATAATCTTTGAATCAATCGATGTTTACTTTGAAAAATATTGAATCATGCCTATAATCCTTGAATCAGGCCTATAATCTGAAAATTTTAGAGAAATGTCAATTTTTCATACCCCGGTTCTTCAGATTTTTCAGATTTTTAAAACTTTGAGCTTTCAAAAATCTATATATTCGAATTCAAATCTCAAAACACACAAACACACACATATATATAGATATATCTATATATCTCGGGAGATTAGAGATCGGAATCGTTTATGGTGCACAGATTTGAGTTGAAACCCTATATCGAAAGAGGGAAGAGAAGCTTGCGGAGGCTCTGGAGGATGATGAAGTCATGGAGAGGTAACGGTCGAGGACGGAGTCGATGGAGGGGTTGCCGAAGGTGAAGGTGTTACCGGCGTTGGAGAAGGTGATGACGGCGGCTTTGGTGCCGCACAAGTTGCAGAGCTCGCCGGTCTTCTTGAAGAGGCCATCTGTGGAAAGGAAGAGAGTGGGGAAGAGAGTGGGTATAATAGTCATATAAAATATTTAAATAATAAATTTGTCCTTTATGTAAGACTTTATAATTATGAAGAAATTTAGAAAGTATAAATTTTTTTTTAGTCCTTTTAACAGTGAAAAGAAGGTAAAGGGGATTTATAACCAAATTTCCCATTTCATTTCATCTCAATCCTAATTTCAACTCTATCTCTCAAAACAAACAAGCCTGAGTGTTTTTTTAGAGAACTATTTAGGCTTTTCCTCGTCTGAAACCACGAAGATGTCAAATCTTTTGTGATATGCTGATTGCGTAACACCCTAAGCAGCAATGTGTGTTTCTTCAATTCTAAACAATCTAAACTTTTTGGTGTTTTAACGTTCAAAAAACATTAAACATTTTATTATTATTATTTAATGTGAATAAAAATTGTTTGATACACGCGTATTTTAAAAACTTGATTTTGAAAGTAAGTGAGGGTGTTCGAATGTGTTTGTCGACCACCGAAAGTAATTTCTAACAAGAGATGGAACAGCCGGTGGTTGGTGGTGGTTGTTAGACACGGGAAGTGATGACCGAAGGTGATTATTGACAGTCGAAGGTGGTGGCCAAAGGCTATCAATGGTCGAAGATGGTAGCCAAAGGTGTTTTTTGGCAAGAGGTGGCCAAAGGTCATTGGTAATGATTGAAGGTGGTTGCCGGAATTGATTACCCGAGGAGGTCACCGACGACTGTGGCTAGATGTGGTGGCCAGAGGGGGGGGGGGGTTTAAAATTTTTTTTTTTGCTAGAACAATTAACAAAATATTTTGTAAATATAAACATAGACCGAAAATGGCACAGTACATAAAAGTTTTTGTGAAACCTGTGGAAGGGCTTTTGTTTCTTTAGCATGTTTTAGAATGCAACCCTTGAATCATAGAAAACCCATTAAATAGAAGTCCATGTTAGTGATGCATATATATTGCCTGGTTATTTCCAGATCCCTAATGTGAAACTAGGGCTCTGCTCATCTGGTATAAAGAGGAAAAAAAAAAAAACCTGCCATTAGTTCTATGGTATTTAAGTTTAGGTAAATTACACTCAAATCGCTGTATAACTCTGAAAATCACATTGTCACTCCCTTATTTTTTGAAATCACACTGTCCTCTCCTGTCATATAACACCGTTTAATAACATGAAAAAAAAATTATTGTATTACCCCCCTCTTTCTCTCTCTCTCTCTCTCTGACCACCCCCACAACTCCATTCCACCACTAAACCATCACTCCCACCACCACCGCAACTCCGCTCCTCCATCGCTTCAAACCACCACTCTCTCTCTCTACTCTTACCACCCCACAACTCTGTCCCACCACTCCCACAGTTCCACCCACCGCCTACCACAACCCCTAACCACCATGCCTACCCACCCACCCCCATTGCCTAAACCAGTCGTGCCAACCACCACAACCCCAAATCAACTACAACCATCATCAAATACGGGTTTTGGAAGCAGGGGCAACTTGATTGAACAAATTGGGTGGCACACAAGCCAAGTCTATCAGCTAGCCGCCCTAGTTGCCAAGAACCGAGAATCAGGAGCTCTACAATATCTAGAACAGTCGAGGTGGTCAAAGAAAATTGAGCAAGTTAACACTCGGTAAGCTTAATCAAACGCAATGCTAGAGACTCTTACAAACTTAAATCCATTTGTACCAAACAAACACAGAGATTGGTGCAACTCATAATTAATCAAATAGCAGAAGTAGATTTGCTGGGAACATAAGCCTAGTTTCAATCAATGTTTGTGGCAGACGTTAACACAGCTCATGAAAAAAAAATAAAAATTAAGAGCACCAACCCGTGTCTTGTTCGATACAAATGCATATAATAACCAAATTTCTAACACAGTTTTATGCGACTTTTTACAGTCAGCTGCATGAACTTTACTATCTAAATGGACCCGTCTTCAATATCACACAAAAATGCACAAGTTCAACTCTGAATCAAGTAGTAAAATTTTAACCATCAAGTAGTAAAATTTTAACCGTCGAGGTTTTGTTACAGTTCCTTACAGGTTTCAGATACACAATTACATAGACATACATACATATATAATAGTCATCCAGAGTACTGTAGAAAGATTGACAGATAGAAGATACAATGGCCTTTAGTGTAAAGCCATAAACAGATTAACACTTGTTGGGTTTTTTTTAGAAAATTCTCTCAAAACCAAATCTATGCGGGTTGATTTTCTACTAAAGCATGGGGAATAAAATCTGGTATCTGTCGGTTCAGTATTGTTGATGGCTGAATTGGTGAACGAACCATTGAAGTCCAAAAAGGGGTATCGGCTAGCAACTCCTAGAAAATGGTTGATAGGATCAATTCTTGAAAGAATGTGGCTCTCTGCCTTCTCTCCTCGTAATCCTGTTCTTGAAGTTCATCTGACATTGCTGAGGTAGTGCTGTGCAAAAAAATAAATAGATAAAATCAGCATATCCCATTGTCACTTAGCATCTACTCTTTTTTGTTGATAATCCAGGGCCTCCAGCCAAGAACTAATCTTTGGAGGCCTTGAAGCTAACAACCGGACAAATCTCCAATGGCCCCTTCGGAGACTCGAACTCGAGACCTTGGATCTTATCAGTAGGTCTTTAACGCTCGGCCAACGGCCAACCCCTTGGGGTTAAGCATCTACTCTTGTTTCACAACTCACATGTCTGCCCATTCACATCACTAAATATTTAGTCCCAAGACTAAAGAAACTTTTTAAGAATAATTTTAGGTGAAGAAATAGGATTTTGCCCACAGTTCAGGTAACTATAACATGACATGATATGCTGATTTTATTTATGGAGTGTAACTGTATAACTAAGAGAAACTAGAGCAGTTTCCAATTTCCAAGTGAAGAGGCGAATACCCAAGCTGTTACAGGTAAGGTATGGGCCAAAAAATTTTGGTCTCTTTTTTCTTCAAACACATGAAGATAAAAGTTGTTGAATTTAACTGGATGAAGTAATAAAGGCTAAGAAAATGGAACATAACTCTCTGGAAATCAAAAGGTAAGATTTCCGTTACGATGTTGCAATTGTAGCAATAAAAAACACAAAATCAAGGTATTCACACTTCACTTCTTGGTTCAAAATGCGGTCTGCAAAAATCATGAAATGACAGCTACACTAATATATTGAAGGACATAGTTACACCAAGAATATGATTCACAACAATATCATTCGATTACCAATTTTAACCTCTAATTTTAAGGGGGAAAGCACCAAACACTTTTAACAGTTCAAACAAATACATGGGGAGCATGAACATAAGACAGGAAGAAAATATATACAATGAAAAAAGTACTTATGACATATGAAATTATCAAACACCTGTACAAAATAAACAATAACAGATATTTGTATCCTTCAACAGTTAATAGCAAAATGACTATCAAATAAAATTAGTCCGATACATTTAATCAGGCCATGTACAAGTAATCTGTAATTAGAAACTTGTTTAGCCTGAAATTTGATGAATTACATGAATTTTTATTTTCTCACAGGCATAGAATATATTGAAAACAAGTACGTAATTTTTTTTTAATTTCTAGGAAGTTGGGTGTTTGGCTTATGAGCTATGAAGCTCACGCCATATCCTTTAGCAAGTTATGCCTCCTAATTACACTCAATCCCGACCGCCAACCCAGGACAGGTACATGATATTTCTTAAGTTTTAATATTGAAATAATAAAAAGAAAACCCAAAACCCAAATGGGTGCCTAATGCTAATGTGTTACCTCAAATAATTGATTATGATTTAAGACTATTATTATTGACACGATATCCATTCCCACCAAGAGTCAGTTTAATTTTTTTTAGTATCAACTCGGACAAGCCATATTCTAGGGACAACATATCTTCATCTAGATTTTTAGATCATACTTAATTCCATTGTCTTACTATATAAAGACATTTCCTACCTTGGCTTTCAATGTATTTACATTTCCACCTAGAACAAATACAAACATTAAATTCCTAAGGTGCTTGCCATTCCCTATCATGGCATGGTTCTAAATTTGATATTTCATTGGTACGTGAACTCCACATACTAGCAACAATTGGCAAACACCAATTTTATGCATTAGTTCTTTCAAAGGTTAATCAAACATGAGCATTGGGTCACCCTTTTTCATAAGTGAAAGGTATTCAATTATCATCTCAATCAAATTGATTCTGCTAAAAATGTTTTGAATATATCGCATTCTGTTATCAGAATCTTAAGATTCGCGATTCAATTCGCAATTTTTGCAAAATCGATATGAATCTATAGGTGAATCTATTTTGAAAATGAATCTTTAGTGAATCGCTCAATTCACGATTCAATCCAACTTTTACGATTCATACAATTCTTGAAACTATCATGTTTGACATATTTCAATTATTTTTTTCTCTTTTTTTAAATTAAAATAACATAATACTTTTAATAGTGTTTAATATGAAAATAACCAATATAGATACATGATTTGCTGTTATTTTGGAGATCAGAGAGTTTTTAATAAAATCCAATCAGATTCAATCAGACCCAACATGTTTTTAACTCTTTTTTCTCATTTTTTTTAATAAAAAAAAATCATAATATATATTCTAACGATGTCTAACGTTAAAGTAACTTGCAATATGAATTATCTATTACTATTTTATCACATGGGTGAGATCAATTAAACCTAATGGTTCTACAAGTCTTTTTAAAGTAGAATTTAAAAAAAAAAAAAAAAAAAAAAAAACTTTATGAACAATAAGTATATATACCTTTTAAAATGTTTTGGATTTTAAAACAAAATATTCTAATTAATTCTTTCTTATTATTGGATTATTGTTACTTGTAAAGGTATGTATGTTTATGAAATATCAATATCGTTCTTACGTTATTGTTACTTGAAAATTGAGAATTTGTCTTTGTTTCCTTTCTTTATTAAGAATGGATGATAAGCAATATCTAGAAAAAGGAAAATGTAAGATGGTAATCTTACATAAGAACCTGTGATAACTTCTTACCTATTAGACCATGTGATATCATTCAAAATAATATTTTCATTGATTTAAGTCTAAATATTTTATATTTATAAGATATATTTAACATCCAAGTGTGTAGATATATTTTTCTAAGTAATTTAGAAAAAGTGACTGAATCTTTACGATTCACGATTCACGATTCGATTCTTGATTCATGGTTCAGTACAAGGCCATTTCGAGTCACGATTTGACATTCATAATACATATCAAATAGTGCATCTATAATTTTTTTAAGGATAGATCACGAACTGCATCACCTTGAAGACCACGTTTTACATCCATAATGGTAAGGTTCATTGTCAAACATGCTATTTCAAACATTCCGTTTCATTTTCAATACCTTCTTTGCAGGGTTATCTATTCTGTTAAAATTTAATCCTTAAAGGTCATGCATAAATATAAAAACACTACTACTTCTACATTAACTAAGTTAAAAATCCATCGGTGGGAAATGAAGATACCTTGTCACGATAGAAGTGGTTGAGCCGGCACTACTAGAACAATCATCATCTTGGTTACCTTTAGGGTCTGAAAGAGTTACATTGCAAAGAAATGGTGAGAGGAGTGGATCAGGTGCAGAGTCATGTACATTACCCCTCCCACTCATCGAACTTGAACCAAGAAACGAGCTTAGTTCACGCAAATCTTTGCCAAACATTGAGGAACTATTACTCCAAAAGCCCGATTTTTGAGATTTTTTCCTCCTCTGCAAAAGAACACAATATTACTCACGACAACATTCATTTTTTCACAGAACTACATAAAGACCCAATTTTAGTAAACAATACCTTCACTGAATGAGAATGCTGCTCGGTAAAATGACCAATTGCGTCTTTCCCTGAAATCCCTAGATTTGCAGCACATAAAGGACAAACCTGAGATTAAGGATGAATAGCATAAAGCCACCAATTGAGTGTAATTTTCAACAATTAATTACATACACTCGGAATCAAGCATGTAGATGTCAAATATCCGACTATTACCTACACCATATATTCACAAAATAGGAAAGAACTCAAGTTAAAGTAATCATATTTAAACATCTATAATACCGCATTTTTTAAGTCAAAACAGTGCTCTTCGTGCAAATGATTGCACAGAATTCGAACTTCAATCTCTACGTAACAGAAAGGGCATGGAAAGTAAGCTCTTGCATCATCATCTCCTTCTAAACCGTCCATGTTCAAATGATTATCTGTTTCAAATAAGAAAAGGTTTGAGGTATACATGCAATATACAATAACCACTAAGAAGTATAGAACAGTAATAGAAATGACCAATGGTCTTCGAAGAACAGACAAATTTTAACATCTTGCTAATTGAAAATCAGCACAGGTACACACTTGTTGGGGGTAGTGTGGATCCTGATAAGTACGGACATTAACCACTCAACCGTGAAGTAAGGGTATTTCTAGTATTTTTGCACTTATGAGTTGTTGTCCTAATTTTTTTAATGTATTCATAGTTTAGGGGAGGCAGCTATCTCTCGTAATTAAAAATCGCAGCGGCCGTAGACATAGCCCTAGTTTAAGTGAACCACATAAATCTTGTGTTCTTCAAGTGTGCATGTGATGTATCTTTCTTGTGCACTTGTTCATTTCTGTGTTTTGTATTTCACCGATCAAGGTACTTGCACATGAATATAATAATGTGCTAATGAAGAAATGATCAAATAGATTCCAAATTCTATAAGCATAAGATTAGCTTCTTTATTAATTACTGATAATTCACTAGTGAAACTATATTTAAAAATCAAATAAAGCGTTAATTACAAGAGTTTTAAGCAAGTCATAGCCAATACAAAATTAAGATAGTAGGTTGTGTTTTTGCTTTCAGCTTTCATTTTTCAGAACACACAAAACTTGATTGGCCAACTGTTTTCAAAAAAAAATTTCTGAAAATAATCCCACTTTTTAGAAATACCAAAAAATTGTTCTCGAATCTTTGAAAAAAAAAAATTAGCACAAAAATAAAAACTCTATGAAAAATCGAACTTTTCATTGTTTTCATTTTTTATTTTTATTTTTTTTTGAAATTGAAAATTTGGGGATATAGATATTAGAAGGAATTGTATGTGAATACCGACATATACTTAATAATAAAAACAAGCAAAACAAGTCCAGAAACACCATTCCACTAAAAATTTGACTCAAAATCTTCAAACCCAGATGGTGAAATCTCCCAATATAAACTCTCAGTCACATAGTACAGTGATTTCATAACACAAACAAAACAAAAACACCAAAAAAAAAAAGGGGCCAAAACACTACCAAGAAACTGATGGGTATGTCATGAGATGTTGTAGGAGTGATTGAGTGAGTGTACCTGAGCTGTGGTTGAGACGAGCAGCTTGGAGAGCAGAGAGGTGCTTGGCTGAGTGAACCCTTGAAGTCCAGAAGTCCATTTTGTGTCGTCAGTTTTCCAGAGAAAAGAATGTGTCAGTTTCTTTACTTTTTTTTCCGGGAAAAAAAAGAAGAGAAAGTTGAATTGGAAATTGGAATTCAAGGACAACCCAACTAACAAAAAATGAAGGGGTGAGGTTTAGATGGAGGAGAGAGAGTGCTAGAGAGAGAGAAGGGGGGGTGTTTTGCCTTTTTGTGATCAACTGATAAAATATGGTGTCTGACATCCTGGAAAGGCTTCCTCATATGAAAGAGCTAAGTTGATAGATGGCTGACACGTGGCTAATGGGACAAAGAAAGGGTCCCTTGCCTTTTTCTCACTCAAATAAAAAATATATATTAATTTCTTTTTTTTTCTTAATTTTTCATTTTTTTGGTGAGACCTTTATTAAAGTTGGTTTTACCGTATGAGGACCATGTGAGAAAATTCCTTTATGCAAAGTCAATTTTAGGGGCACCTTTGTTGTTAACTTGTTAGTGACAAATTTTAATAGTTTGATTATGATTAAAAATTTAATTATGTAACGAAAAATGAAGTAAGGCATTCATTCTCCCGAGCTGATGAGAGGATTAGATAATTAAAAAAGAATGTAGAATTTAGATATCTAAACATCTTTTTATTTTCTTGAAATATCTCCTATAGCTAAGAGTATCTCAAATAGAACTCTCAAAATATTTTTCAAAACTACAATTTGGCAATAGTGACAAAAAGTGAGTCTCCAATGACTTGCTATTCTAGTTGTCAAAGATGGCATACGTCATTTCTGTTCTCAAATTTGACAAGTAAAATAACAACTGTCAAACATGCAACATCAACAAATATAAACAGAAAAATAAATTTTTTGGTGGAGTGAAGTATATTTTAATTTTTTTTCCTAATTTTTCAAATTTATTTTTATTTTTTATATTTGTCTAGTCGGGAATAATATAAATATATAATTTTTTTTACAAATAGTTAAAAAAAAGTGACAAAAAACAAAAAATAAACAAAAATAAAATCACAAAAAAATCTATATCTAAACAACACCTACAAACTTGGAGTGAAAGTTAGTTGAAAATTACCAAAATAGCAAATGATCATTGGAACACTATTGCTATAATTTGGCAAAATAGCATTATTCATTACCAAATTATAGGAATAGCAATGATATTATAACAGCGATCATTAGAGATGCCCTAAGAAATCAAATAGAATGTTTATGTTTATCTGTAAAAAAATATTTGATTTACATGTTTTCATAAATGAGTGAGGTCTGCAGCTGGAGAAATAATGGTTGAACAGGATCACCGACGATGATAGTTGGAGTTTGAGGTGTCTGTGTATTGGACTGGTGGATAGGGACTGGAAGAGGTGGGAAAAAGAGAAAAGAAATTAAACCTATATCAACTTATACTACTTCATTTATTTGAATTTAAATCTCACATTACTGATATTTAACTGCTTCCTCATGACCACTAAGGCAGCAATTCCAATCATTTGTTGTTCAACTCAATTGCAATTTGCAGTTATTCTTGGTTCATAAGAATAGGCATAAAAGTAGTCGTTCTCATTGAAAAATGATTTTTTTTCTTTTATTACAAATGTTCTTTTTCTTTTTTTTCTTTTTCTTTTTTTACAAATTTCTTCACAGATTTAAAATCTACACACATTGCATTGCAAGCACAATAAAAGTGAAAGTGTATTTCATGTTGTAATTTTTTATTTTATTTTATTTTTTTTAGGTCTAAATCATTGGTATCCAGAAGTTCATTCAGGACCCCGATTAATCCGGCTCGAGCCGGGTAGGACCACAAGGGCGGCAAAGCTCTTCCAACCAAGTTTTAACACAGTTACGTTCCCAAGTCTCGAATCCGAGATCTTGATTAAGCTAGTAAAGCTCCTTACCAGCTAAGCTACGTGTTTGTTGGTATTTCATGTTGTAATTGATATGTAGCGTTATATGTCTTTTATGGGTTGTAAGAGAACGCTATAGGTAAGAATTCTATCAATTTCATTTAATTAAATGTATCATAAATGCACAAGTCACTTTCTTATATTCTCGCAGGTAATTATTTGGTAGCTTGAGAGATCGGTCATGTAGGAGTGTTTTAGAAAGATGATAAAAAGTTAATTTTTTAGTTTTTTTAATTTATTTTATTTTTTTGTGAGTAAAAAATATGAAAGGTGATGTGACTCAAAATGAGTAAAAAGTTAAAAATTAGCTTTTTTAGTGCTTTCCAAAAGACTCCGTAATGTTCCATAGTAGTATGATTAGTGGATACAAAAATACTAGAGGTCTCAAAAATTCTATCAAAAGTTCTATTAAATGTCTGATATGGGTATGGGACCTACATTGTGTGAGTCTCATTCCCATATGAGACGTTAGATAAAATTTTTGGTAGAATTTTTGAAATCTAGCATTATTCTAGTAGATAATGTGAAGTATTAATTATTTGTGTTAGGTATTTAAGGAACATAAAGGGATATAATAAATAGTGATTGATGAGAGACTGATCACGCATATTCTGAAATTATTGTATAATTTTCCTATTCTTGCTACTCTACTTGTGACCACCCAATGCATTTACATAAAAATTATGAAGAAGAAGGGAAAAAAAAAGTTGCATCTTACCCATCTTTAAAGTAATTACTTTCTTAATTTATTTAAATTATTTTTTCACACAAGTAATAAGAAAAAAAATAAACTCTAACCACAAATTCTTTTAAAAAAATTAAAACACTCCCAATACACGTGCAAGATAAGTACTAATTGAAGTAGGAGCCATTAATTTGTATGATATTTTAAGTGAAAAACAATTTAAAAACAGCTAACGTTGCAAAGACAGAAATGTGAATCATGATCAACCCACTTCGTTAGTTTTTATTGATTCCTTGTAGCACCTAAAAGTCTAAGACCAATCACAACTTACAAGGGTGTCAACTTTGATTTTAAATTTTGATTTGCACATCATTTTTTCTTAAAGGTGAAAAAAATTAAAAAATTAAAAAATTGATCAAATATATATATTGTTTTTTCTAATCTTTTTCTTATACCCAAAATGAACAAATTCCAATGCATATACAACGTCAAATGAGGTTTCTACTTTGATCGCTTTACATGGAGTGTGAGTCATTACCATGTAAGTACACTGATAAAGCTGGCCTAGACTTTAAAGGAAAAAATTAAAATAAAAAAATAAAAAAAGTATATACAGAAAAATAAGTATTTTTATATTCATTGTGAGACATGAGAAGACTTCAACATTAGGCAAGTTGATTAAAAAAAGTTGTGATGTGGCAACTCACACATAAACAAAGTTAGTGACTCGATATTAAAATATGTTACATACCTAAAAGAATCATGAAAAAGGAATTAATATAAGTCTTAAAATGGACGACCTAACAATGACATGTTAATTAACAAAAATGATATTTGTATGGAGATTTCTTACATTATTATTAACTATTATTTTAATTTTTTGAATTAATAAAAAAGTATATAATTAGACCTCATTAACTATCGAAGTGTATCACATACGCCCGCGCTGTCCCTTTAGCTGTGAATAAATCATGAGTTTGAAGGTTGTGTGTTATGATTTTAGTTATTTTATGACTATAGTATTCTTTAGTAGTGGGTTAATTGTTAGAAAAAAATAATTTTATGATAACTTTAATGTGAACTTAAAATAGATATCAACCACCGGTTAAAGTAATATCAAATGTGTTTAGATTTTTTATAATAAGATCTTTACACTACAAAAAAATAATCAAAAATCATTAAAAATTGAATGAGAAATTGTCTCAGAAAGTTGGCCTCATTAATGAGATATTGGGAATAGTGTATAACCACTTATTCCACATTGATTGCAGAAGAAGGCATTGATGATTATTTAAATATCAAGATTTTGATAAGTTGATGATCCCTTTGAGGCATCCAAAATTTCCGAAGGAAAGGAATTATGGATGCTTCAAAAATGGGCTTACGCCAAAATTATGATCCAAGTTGGTTATGTAAAAATTATCAACATAGAAATTCTTGGGCTTGAGGCTTGTCCATAGATCTTGGGCTTGAGGCTTGTCCATCAATTTTGCCCAACTTAGTGGGCAATTTTGACTGCATTTGTTGCCAGTCTTTATGACTGAGAGGCTCCTTCTCTCTCCTCAATTGCGTGTAAAAGGAGGCCATCTTCCTCGGTTTCAACATAGAAATTCTTTACTCTCATATTATAGTCAACCCTCTTCCATTGTGTATAAAAGAAGGTCATTTTCCTTGGTTTCAACATAGAAATTATTTGCTCTTATATTATAGTCAGTTTGTTCCTGTAATATTTTTCCTGTGAGAGAATATTGTCATTGTCAGTTCGTTGGAGCTAAACAGAAGCTGCTTCTGTGTTAACGGGTTCCAACCGTATTTTAGGAGATAAACGCCGACGTACCTCCAGCACCTATAATGAGGTGGTGAATCTCTTTTAAAAAGACTGTGGTATCACACAGGTTTCGGTTTACTTTCTTTTCCTTATTTTTGTTTTAGTCCCATGATTTTCTATAAATCAATTCAATTAAATATGAATCTGTTTATTTTTTTTAAATACACAATTTATACAACACTAATTACACAAAGACCTTCTCAATTATCATAAAGTAATCACTTTACACCCTTAAAAGCTATCATGAATTACTTTATTTCTAAATTATAAAACCGTACAATTAGGTCCTCAACCCCCGTGGGTCTAAGGTATGTAATTTATATTTTGAGTATTCAGTTTAGCACTTGATTATCTTTGAGAGATATACTGACTTGATCGTCGGAGTGCCCCCGGGTGGAAGAACCACCGCCGGAGCTTTTTCTTTCTATTACAGGTTGCTAAAGCCATCTATTCTACCTGTGCTCTCCAGCTGATCACTAAACGGGCAGTGTGGTCAGATTTTTACCCACACACGTACAATTAGGTCCTCAACTATCAAAATGTCACACATTCCTTGATACCGTTAACGAAAACATTGAAATAACTAAATTATCTCATCTTTTATATATCTCACATACTTATTCTCTCTTTAAAGTCCATTAGAAACCATTACAATTTTTTTTTTTTTATAAATGATTTGGTCATTTAATTGTTTTTGTTAACAACATTAGGGTGCCTGACATTTTAATAATTGAAAGAGTTAATTGTACACTATAGTTGAAGAGTAAAGTGATCCTTCATGATAATTTAAGGAGATAATATTTACAAGAGGTAAAATGATATAAGGGGTGTAGAATATTTTGATAATTAAACGTGTTCCATAAACACCTTTAAATTTTTTTAAGATATCAATAGTTTAAAGAGAAATTTATACAATTTTTTTAGTTTAAAAAATCAAAATAATAATTGACAATTAGGGGTGTCTATGTAAGTAGCCCTTAACAAAACAAGTAGGACATATGTTGCTTTATTGTGAAGAAAGAATGGTTGATTATGTGACTACAATGCAATGAATATGGACTTTGGGCAGTGCATAACACCTAGAAAAAGTGCAAACAAACAGGATTTAAAAAAGATGATGACCATGGTGGAACATTTTATGTGGAAAAGAAACATTGTGGGATGGAAAGATTGAAACCCATGATGGAAATTAAGAAAAGTAATCAGAGTCCTGTTTGGTTACATTAATTTGTGATTTATTTAATTTATAATTTAAAATCCTGTGTTTAACCCGGTGTACATCAATTGAGAGGGTGTTTTGGTTCCATTTTCCAGTTCTAAAAAAACTGCTTTTTTCTTTTTTCTAATGTTACAAACCAATTTGGGAAGTGATTATTTGGGTAAAAAAGAGAAGGAAAAGAAAATGTTCAAATAAGCACAAGTCATTTGACAATTCAACTCTTTTGGACTGTTATTTTAGTAAAAAGAATTTCTATTAGTTGGACATAAAAAGTATTTTTGATCAGCTATTTTAGCTTCTTATCTTAACCTTGACTTTAATTCTCATAAAAAGAAATATATCTTATCTTTGAACGCTCTGCATGTTATCCATTTTCCTAATAACGATCCCACAATTGTAGTTTTATTTTCTCAACAATTGTGTAAGTATTTCTATTCATATTCAGTCACATGTCTTAATCTTTTTCATATTTGTTAATTACATATATCTTTCTCATATTGTTTTTACAATTGTATAAATCAGAACTCAATGTACACATATATCATCATTAATATTTAATCTCCCATAATGTACAAAATATTTATGTACATTAATAGAAAATTAACAAGGCCATCAAACCACAATATATAAAAGAGTAGGGATTGAAGATAGCCAAATGGGTAAAACTTTATAAATCTTAAAAATAAAAAAAAAAATTTAAAAAGAAAGTAAACCTTTGACGAGTTGGGGAAAACTTGACCCATCAAATGCCACAACCGACCCGAATTTTATCAATTCGGATTCTTCCTAAACCCTCGAGAAAACCCCTCTGTTTGCTGATCTGATTCTCAGAAAGAGAGAGAGAGGGTGAGTTTGTTCACAAAGCGGCCATGAATAGAGCAAAGGCGATACTGAGTTCTCTCCGACTCGCCAACTCTCTTTACTCGACTCGGCTTCCCCGAAACCACTCGCTTAATCCTCAGGTATCGACTCAGTTCTCTCACCTCTCTCCATCTCTCTCTACCCATCAAACTCTCTTCTTCTCATCACAACCAAGCTCGATTCTTCAACTTGTATTGGACAATGATTCGTACAAGGAGCTAGAACACAAGTTATCAAACACTAACCCAACACTGACCCACGAAACTGTTGTCTACATTTTGAAGAAACTCGAAAAATCCCCAAAAAAGGCTTCGAATTTCTTCAATTGGGTCTCTGAAAAAAATGGGTTTAAACCCAGTTCTGCAATCTACAGTCTAGTGCTTCGAATTTTTGCTAACAAAGAGTCGATTAAGCAGTTTTGGGCTACCATTAACAAAATGGAAGAACTAGGGTTTTATATTGATGAGACAACATACCTAACAATTCTTGGAGTTCTTCGGAACTCGAAGATGGCCACCGATGCCACGGCTTGGACTCAATTGTATAATAGGATGGCTAAGGAAAATGATTTGAATGGTGTAGTGAAGAAGGTGGTTCAAGTTGTTACTCAATCGGATTGGTGCGGTGAGGTTGAGAGAGAATTAGGGGAGATGAAAATTTCCGTGTCAGATGATTTGTTGTTGACGGTTTTGAAGGATCTTCGAGGATACCCTTTGAAAACTTTGAGGTTTTTCAAGTGGGTTAGTGAGTGTTTAGGATTTGAACACAATAGTGTTACTTATAATGCAATTGCTAGGGTTCTTGGTCAGGGCGATTCAATTGCGGAGTTTTGGAGTACGGTGAGGGAAATGAAGGGTTTAGGTCATGAAATGGATATTGATACTTATATAAAGATTTCGAGGCAGTTTCAGAAGAACAAGATGTTGAAGGATGCGGTGGAGCTCTACGAGCTTATGATGGATAGTCCGTATAAACCCTTAGTTCAGGATTGTAGTGTGCTTTTGCGTACCATCGCTGTGAGTGGTAGTCCAGATATGGATTTGGTGTTTAGAGTTGTGAAGAAACACGAGGCAGCGGGGAATTCTCTAACAAAGAGTAATTATGATGGAATTCATAGGTCTTTAACAAGCATAGGGAGATTCGATGAAGCGGAGAAGATTGTGGAGGCTATGAAAAATGCAGGGTATGAGCCTGATAACATCACCTATAGCCAACTGGTGTTTGGACTTTGTAAAGCTCGGAGACTAGAAGAAGCATGTAAGGTGTTGGATGTGATGGAAGCTAGCAGATGCGTTCCCGACCTCAAGACTTGGACCATTTTGATACAAGGACATTGTGCGGCTAATGAAGTCGACAAGGCATTGTTTTGTTTTGCGAAGATGATGGAAAAAAACTTTGATGCCGATGGTGACCTCTTGGATGTCATGATAAGTGGTTTTCTTAGTCAGAATAGGATAGACGGTGCTAACAAATTGCTTGTGGAGATGGTGAGTAAGGCTCATTTGAGACCTTGGCAAGCGACATACAAGAATTTAATTCAGAAGCTTCTAGAAATAAAGAAACTCGAGGAAGCATTGAATCTCCTTCATCTAATGAAGAAACACAACTACCCACCTTTCCCGGAACCATTTGTGCAATATATTTCGAAGTTTGGGGTGGTGGAGGATGCTGTGGATTTCTTGAAGGCATTGACTGTGAAGGAACATCCGTCTGTTTCAGCATACCTTCATGTTTTCAAAGCTTTCTTTCAGGAGGGTAGACATTCTGAGGCCAAGGATCTGCTTTACAAGTGCCCTCATCATATTCGCAAGCATGTGGCAATTTGCAGTCTCTTCGGTTCTGCAAAGAGCAGCAGTGCTGCTACTGCCGCTTGACATTGCTTTGAGGTAGTTTATTTGTTTTCAAATTCATGTTGTACAAATGAACTCGGTGAAGAACTGGTAGGTGATCTTTATAGGTTTTTACTCTCACTATAGAGTGCAATGTGATTTTGTTTTATTTCATTCTGTTTTTTGTATTTCAAGTTCAATTAAGCTTTACATTTAGATTATTTGTGACCTGTCCTCATTTGAAAATGGACTATTTTAATAACTTTTTGGCTAAAATTTAAAATAAAAAAATTAAATATATTTGAGATAATCTTTTGACTTTTTACAAAAAAAACATGCAAAAAGTCAAGAAAAAATAGAATCTTGACTCTTTTGTATAGTTTGTTGATTTTTTTAACCTTTTTAGTGTCTTTTAGGCTAAAATAATAAGTTGTCAAACAAGGCCAAAAAATATTGGCAATATTTTTTTGTATTCTTTCTAGTTGAGGGGGCTTGGGAGAGGCGACGCAGCTGAAAAGTTGGGATCAGTGATGACTATTAGTCTCTAGGGTTATAGTTAGGGTTTGAGATTGGAGTGTGGGGCATTTTGGTATTGTTTGAAAATTAATAGTGTGAATTAAGAAAAAATTCAAACTGAAAGTGTGTTTACTAATTTACTGAGAGTGGTGTACTAATAGAATTACCCTTTCATGGATAATAATTTCATATTAAAAAATTTAGTTATTAAATATATTTACTATGTGAACATCCAATTAGACATGTCAATACATTTATTTCATATATTTAAAAGAGTATATGTAACATCAGAGGCAACTAATCTTGAGCTCTATTCACAGTAACTTGCTTGATACCATTGCAAGGAATGGAATAGTTTCTACTTTTATTAGAGTAATTTGATTAAAAAGAAACGCAAATTATATATATATGACATAATCACCCATTGTTTCAACTCTTTAGGCTTGAGACATACTATAGTTTAGTGGCAATTTGAATATTTTTTGCTGCTATCCTGTGGCTTCTCCTTTCATACAAAAGATAGACACTAATGGATCATAACTGCAGTAGACATGAACATTACTAACACTTTGCATAAAAAATATAATGACCTTCAAGTCAAAGGGTTGTTACAAAAAATTTGGAAGGGTTGAGTAATTCCCCGGTAGCTACAACATTTGCCTTGAGCTGTACCTATCACTGTATACAACTTACTAGAGTCACAACCATAATGGATTGGATTGGCAAGAGCTTCATGTGGGTAAGAACAAAAGCTCTCTTAATGATCATCTAGTTAATCCTCAGATTGAACAATACACGTACTGATCACTACTCAGGTAGCTCGGAACGCTCCCTTCTAGAGGTATCAATCATTGTACCCAAGAATTTGCTAGGGTCACAAATGCAAGGGTTAGCAAGAGCCGCGTGTGTTAAGAATGGAAGCTTTCTTAACGGCTATGACCCCTGGAGAGGAAAACAAAACAAACAAAATCACTTGTTTAAGATCATCTAGGAGCTGTTTGGTGCAGCTTATGTGAGCTACTTCTGGCTTTTTCTTTTTCTTGAGTATTGTTTGGTGTTACTTTTGCTTTTATCTATTCACCCAAAAAAACTTTGGCTTTTAACTTACTAAAATAAGGTAGAAAAAGTTGATTATTTGAAAGGTGGAGAGAGGGATGCTTTTGGCTTCTATTTTTTGATTATCAACTTTCAACTTACAAAAAGTTGCACCAAACAAACCCTTCAATTCCTCTGTTTGGCAAGTAAAAATTATTAAATTCACTAAGCAAATAAAAGGATCTTCAACCCTAACCTCGCATGCTTCCGCAGCTTCAAGCAATTGTTTAGACAGATGTACGGTGCTTTGAGAGTCCTGCATTACTGGCATATTCAGCTTCTCTTTCAAGCTAGCATAATTTAGAAGAATGAGATGATTTCCGCCCTACAGTTTTCCAGATTTGTTAGCATTCATCGGTTAGAAAAATGTTTAAGTTTTCCTGCACAAGAAGTCATTTTCAGTAACCAAACCTGGGAATTTGACAATATTCCAGTTCTTAAAAGCTCCTGCAAGCAGGACCTTAGTATTTCATAACGTGCTTGAAGAGTTGGAGGACCTACATATGCTTTAATATCAGCTCGATCCACAAAAGCTATATCTGCACCCCAACAAATACATTCCATATGTGTGAATTTATTCCTTGGTAGAAAATCTATTTTGTTGAAAAGAGTGAGCACATATTAGTGGCTGAGAAACCCTTAAATACAAAAATGACGCAAGAAAGAAAAAAGAAAGCTGCAATACAAAGACCCCTAGTGCCCAATCTAAAGTTAGATTATCTTCAAACTATTTTTCTTTCATTCTCATAATATCCAACCAATATACAGATGGAGGAGCTGGAAAATTGCTGGCACAAAAAACTGGTTCTGGATGTCACTTGGGAATATGATATTTTAGGGTTTACGCATAGTTTTATAAGGAACTCGTGTGGATCTAATTGAAATTCATTGGCTAATATTGGTATTAGCACTCCAATGGGCAATTTGCATCACAAAATAACGCAACATAGAGCTAGTTCATAAATAAATTTTAAAAAAAAATAAAAAGAAGAAGAAGAAGATTCAGGAGTATATGCCAAGAAATCCAGAAGATATGACATTTGTATAGACCTACCAATAGCAGCAGTGATATTGGACGTTGTTAAAATTATCACATTTGTTGCAGATTTCAACTTGTCCATCTGGGTAAGAAGGGCATTCACAACCTAAGAAACCACATATAAGTTTCAAGATGTGTTAAAAGGTAAGCCAGTGTACCACATTATTCAGAAAATATGCTTAAACTAATGTTTAGATTTAGCTTGGAAGGGGGGCAAGGCAAGATATACCCGTATAGAATCTGATGGTTCAGAACCAGACAAAGCAGCCTTTCTAGCAGCAGCAAGGCTTTCTACTTCATCTGAAGAATCACCATAAATCAATGATTGCAAACTAAGGTAGATGAAGGTGAGCAAAAAACTGGCCACATTTGAAAAAAAATGTAGTACTCACCAATCAAAACAAATACAAGATTGTTTTCTTCCTCCACCATTTCTTGAATTTTTTGGAAAAGTTTTGCAACCTAAAATTGAGGATACAAGTGAAACTATAAGCCACATGAGCTGAACTCTAGTAAAAAACAGGTGATCAGACAATCTATTACATAACCTCTAACAGAAACATACATGGTAACCAAGAAATACAAGTTTTCACTCACATGTGCTTCCCTCCAAAAGTAATGCTATCACAAATTAGAGCATTGTATATTGCAGGATTGTCAGCGTATTTTATAAAAACAACTAATGTGCTTCCAAGGTGAGGTGTACCTCAATTGGTTATTTCTGATGACAGTTGAGATGCACCTGACTGGAGAGTATGTTGCATAAAATAAGCCATAAAAAATCATTTTTTCAAATTTTTTTTAATTTATATTGCATAATTGACTTACAACTGCAAAGATGGGATACCTCATTCCAATCAAACCATTCCTATTTTTATTAGTGACTTGGTTCGGAATCATGTCACGGTAGGTTAAAATATAGTGAAGAATTTGCAAGATTTTGGTGCTGTGAATGTACTAATGTGATGTCCTCTGGCTTGTTCAACTGCAGTCTCACCTAGTTACAATACTAATGTACTATTACAAGAAATACTTTTATCAAATTAGATGCGTGAGGGCAACATGTTAGAATTTGCACCTCAGTGTTAATTAACCAATCACCAACAGACCAGCCGTCCAACACAGGAATCCTAATGTTGGATGACACACTCATGACTCACAAATTGAATTGACTCCGAATCTAAACCGTTCAAGTTTAGCCCTAAATATTGAATCTCTGTGGTCTACGTGTGAGGTTATAGTAACAAGCATGAGGTTATAGTAACAAGGTTGACAAGGGATGAATGTGGCAAGCAACTTGTTTTTTTGAGAAAAAACATTCAATGTGGATGATTTTAACCAAAAAATATTGTCTACTAGAATAGAACAATTATCAACTACAATGCTGGAAATTTAGGTACAAATAAAAAAATTGTACAGATGACATGGTGATGCTGCAAGCTACATAACTTATTTTCTGGCAAAACAAATCCCCAGAAAAAACATAATTCCCCATCTAAGAAACGGGGCTTATGTGTAACCAAAGTTAAGGTATGAAGCCTTGATCAGTTATATGTTAATTAGGGTGTGACCGCGTGAACAACTACTGACAAAATAATTACTTGCAATTTAAATCAAAATGCAAGTTTGTATGAAAGCAACAATAGCTGAAAGAACTATTCAAAAACTGCATTGTCATAGGACCTACCAACTTGCCACTTTCAGAAAACCATTTACTGAACAAAGAATGAGCATTAACTTCAACGAGTTGGCATTGTGGGTATCTGATCTTGGAAAAATGTAAATCAAAAGGTTAAATTAGTCTAAGATGAATGCCTTGCATGCTTAGTGCATTTTATTACAAATATACTGGTCAAACAAATATTTTAAAGATAAAGAAAAACCTGGAACTAAAACGTATGGATAGTTTCTGAGCCAATGCTTTGCATAAAGATGTCTTGCCTGTCCCAGGTGGCCCATGCAGAAGAATTATGCTGCAAATGGTACAACTGGATTAGTGAAGAACTTTCCGTGCCACAATCAATAACCGATTGGGATCAAACTGTGTTGAGGTTGATCGCACATTAGATCTTATTTGGCAAACTATTTTACCCATAATTCTAGTCTTTTAAGAGTCCTGTTGGCCAACAGCATAAGATCAAGTAGACAAGTGATAATAACAGAACAGAAGGTCAATAGTAGACTTTACATTGACAGGTGAATAATCTATTTTAAAAGAGTGAACCAGTGTGCTAGATTGAAATAACCACAGTGCAGACTTTTCAGGTGCATTACAAAGAGCATTGTGATGGCCACTCTTCTTCAAGATTTACTGCCAACATTGGAGTGGCCATAAAAGAAAAGAATGTAGCCTGTAGGGAACTTAATTGTAGCAAAAAACAGTTTGAAGAGTGTAAATTGTCCTAATAATGAAATATTTGTGAACGTCATTGCTAATCTAGTACCTATGCTGTGGGATGTTCAGAATGACCTTAATGATCAAATTATTTTACTGGTTGTTATTGTGCATAGAACAAGCAGTTGAATTACAATGGGCACTCATCTTTCAGTTGAGGAGTACGGATAGTCATATAAGTTAATAAAGACAAGGATTTTTAACACTTTCCAGTCATTAGATTTTCATATTTGTTGGAGTTAGCATTGAAGAATAGTATTCAACAGTGGGACGAGTTGCAAAAACAAGCAGATACCTCTTCACACCCATATATTCCTTTCCTACTTCCCATTGATTCTTAATCACTGATTTTATGAACTTAATACATATAAGACAAACTGACAGCCTACTCATACTACTCAAAGGAAGATATGCATTTGCACAAAAAATATAGACACCAGTTTCACAACAGCTCTAACAATGAAATTGCCTTTGTTAATACCTAAACAGTTGCTTCACTGAAAAGCTATATCATTCTCAATTGCAAGCTCTACGTTAAGACTTTGAGGAGGATTTTGCACTATGAAATGTCTAGTTTACAATGTACCATTTTATAGTCTTGAACAAATAATTTCTGTTGCAAAGGTTAATACTAGTTTGCTGAGTGTTTGGAAAATAATATACTGAGAACCAAAAGTTTCTGTAAGCAACTTTCAAATAATGTTCTAGATACAAAGAAAAATAATAATTGCAAGATAAAAGTTTGTGCTAGTAATTAGACAAAAGCTTTTTAAACCCATGATTTGCCGAATAAGTTCTTTAACAGCTACAATATCTAGTTTGGAAATACTCATGAAATCAGCAGAAAATTCCTCACCGGTTCCATGATATAAGGAAAGGATCGACACCCTTTTCACTAAAGAGCAGAGCACTTGCTGCATACCGCAACAACCTCTGCTTGAGACCAGATTCATAGATCAAGCTGCAAAAGAATAAATCATGTTTTCCAGTTTTTACATTTATCATTTTAAAATGAGAACAGAAAGATAAATTGCAAATCAAACCTTTCCCACATGCCATCAAATTCTTTTGCTGGAAGAATCCATTCATTAAAGCTAGAAAGTTGTCCATCTCCACTAAGTTCTTCACACGGCCCGTCCTCACTAAGCTGAGGAGGAAACAATCAAATAGAGCATTAAAGAAACTACATACAACTAATACAATTCAAGAAAAGCAAGCATTATTAACACCTATCAGTGAGTTGCGAACTCAAATACTCTAGCCAGTTAAAGTTTATGTAAACATTAAATAGTTAGGTTTCCTTTAAAAGAATAGCATCCAAGGCAGGGATTAACCTATGAAGCACAAATACCTTTAGAAGAGTGTTATATCTGTATTGAACACCCACACTCCTTGCCTAGCTTATGATCAATTTAATGTTATGACAGGTATACGGTATACCTGACTTTTTTTAGAATTTTTCATATCAACGTATTCGTATCGAGTCATACCCTTATCCTTATCATGTATCCGTATCTATGTTTCACAAAGAGATCCACCATGTTGAAAGATCGATGCTATTTCCACATCCTAAATGGATTTTTTTTTAAATAATTACACTCATGAATCATGATACACCATAAGAAAAGCAGATCACCTGGAACACATGCACACCGGGTTTGACTTGCCAGAACAGAAGAATATCATGGTTCGCCACCCATTCATCTACAACAACCAACAATGAAATATCAGATCCCAAAAACAGGAACAAACAGATACCCTAAAATTTGTAGAAAATAAACACGAACCCGTGTCACAAACGCAGATCCTTTGTACGTTTTCCACCAGGAATGAATCGTCTAGAGGCACTGGAACTGGACCATCTATATAGCTCAAACTCCTCTTTTCAAGCATTCTATACAGCAATAGAATCAAAATCTTAAAAACCCATTTAGCCAAACATACACTGTGTTTGGATCTTGGGAAAAGAAAATGAAAAAAAATAAATAAAATCTTCTCTTATCCATTTCTTATACACAAACCCAATTGTGACTAATAATTATATCTAATAAAAAAACAAAGCCCATAGATTTCAATGACAAATCAATAACTAAATATGAAGCAATTACACTATATATAAAAGCGTACATCTCAACAGCTGAACGGACATCTTCGATCCGAGCTGTGCTTGAGGGTTTTAAGCAAACTTCGACTGAAACAAGAAAAAAAAAAAGTTGCAACTTGAAGCTTGAAAACACAATGAAATTGTTCGATTAAACAAACAGAAATTGAGGGATCGAATCGTATGTGACCTGAGACAAGAACTTTGTCTTCGGCGAGTGGTGGTGGTGGCGGCTCTGCGACGATGCCGTTTTGCTCTGAGGTATCGGCGCCGAAGTTGTCGGTGGCGCTCTGCAGAGAGATCTCCATTGGAGCACTCATTTTGTTCGCTAATTTTGGAGAATTTCACACTGTTAATTTGCTGTGAACCAGAGAGAGACGGGCAAAACCCTAGAGGAGGTCCAGAAAGAGGTGTTTTCTTTGAAAATGAGCGGGAAGACAATGGGATTTTGTCATCTACTTTTTGCAGATAAATTTTTTTTTTAAAAAAAATGTACTAGTACATATATTTTATGATTATTTGGATTTTTAGGGAGAAATGTGCAAAAATATTTGAAAAAATGAACACTACTTTTGGTTCTCCTTTATGTCCCGTTTGTTTGGAGTTATAGTAAGGGGATTAGGATTATTAATACCTTAGGACTAATATATGACGTGTTTATTTTGAGAGATAGCCTTGAGACTATTAATACCTTGGAACTAACTAATACCTTGCTATTATTAATATCTTATGGCCATGTTTGATTTCACAAGACTAATAGTAAAGTATTAATAATCCTATTAAATTAGTGTGGTATTAATTATCCAATTGGATTAGTAGGATAAATTATCCTCTTGTCCATTGTTTGATTTGCATGGGATAAGAAACTTATGAATGTAGGATTATAACTATATTTATTTTCTTTTCCAATCTTACCCTCCATCAATGTTTCTTTATAATTTTTACTTTATCAAAATTTCTTCATAAATGTGATTTTGGAAAAAATTATAAATAAATAAATAAAAGCAAAATTAAAATACAAAATACAAAGGCCATGTTTGGTTTGTTTTTTAATTTTTTTTTAAAAAAAATATATAAACTAATTTGATAAAATAAATATAAAAAAATATTTTAAAATTTATAAAAATTATTTTTGGCCTTCTAAAATATAAAATTATATAGATTTAATAATAAGTGTTTTATTTTTTTTAAAAAAATTTCTTTCACCAAATTAATTTTAAAACAAGTTCATAAAAACCAAACCAAACATGACCACCACCAACCCACCCACCCACACAAAATGGTAATTAAACACATGCAAACATGTCTACACACACATACACAAAATGGTAATTAAACACATGCAAACATGGCCTAAAAGTACACATGCAAAATTATGTTTGAACATAGATTTGCCTAAACACAGATTATGTTTGATTCACCCATCAATACCACACATAACAGATTATGTTTTTTGTTTTTTTGATCCACCAATCAACTCAAGTTCAATATTAAACTAAGAAAAGCAATGTTCACAATAGTTTGTAGAACAGTAATGTGTGTAAGCTAGAAATATAGCATCTCCAATATCTTCTACACAACTAAATTCCCACATTATCAAATACGATTATATATTCTATTGTGTCGAATAAACCACGATCCCCAACATGTGTACTCATATGTGCCCTCCCAACAAAAGACATACCCACTCTAATTTGTCGGCATCGGAGAGACTGAAAAAGAAGTCAACTCGTTGAGCATCTTTGACAATGAGAGAACCTGCTGTCAACCTTTGAGTTGATGTAAGGGGGAGCTTCAGAAGTTCAGCATTGACACTTCTCCTAGCTTGGGATAAGTCATGTTGATATCCAATCCTTTTAACAATCTCACCCAATCTAGTGTCCGTTTTATCCAAAAAAGATCCAAGTGTCTCTGTCATTGTAGCAATATTACTTGCGATTCCTTCAGTAGTCCTCGCTCTTTTTGTTCCTCCCTTGCTAAAGGTAGAAGAGTTGGATGCATTTCCATTTGTAGACATTGAACACTCGAAGTCAGCAACATTGAATTGCTTAGCTGGAGAACCATCACCCTTCTCCCCCATGGCTTCCTCCACAGCAATTGCTTCAACTGCATCTGCAGGATCTTCCGCTAACTCACCAGTGGCTCTGTCTTTGCCAAAGAGAACAAGCCAATCTTCATAATATGGAAATGACTTGTTTCGCATAGAACTCGCACTTGGTTGTCTCTACACAAGTTCAAAAGAAAGAAAGGACATTCAAGTATGCTAAATGAGATAAAATTGAAATGAAGATGAATAAGATATCCAGTAATTATGATGAGATGAACACTAAAAAATAGAAGAAAAAAACTTACCCGAACAAAGTTTTCCCAAACCTCATCACTATCAACAAGAACCATCTTCTCAGTGTCATTCCATCCAAACCCGCTAAGCTTAGTCATTTCATACAAAAGGCCATAGTGTTTCCTCCAAATTTTTATCTTTGACTCAATATGAGGACAAGCACGAAGGTCACTTCCAGGAAAAGCCATGACAATTCTCTTCTCAAGTTCGCCATAAAACCCTGACTTAAATTGCCCATTGTCAACCTTCCATTTAGGATTATTACACAAATCTCTCATTGCACTTATGAGAAACAACTCCTCCCTCTTCGTCCAAATCCTACGACTCCCAATTGAACCAGCATCTGCCTTCCCCTTACTTTTCTTTCGAGAATGACTGGTAGCAACACTATCCATGCCTATAATAATGATGTACAACACATATTATTGATTTAATAGCTCATTCTAATATACAAAATACAAGTATGGAAGACAAGGTAAAAATATGATTGAAAAGTGTGCTTGAACTATATATATATATATAAAAGCACTCTTGATATTAAACAACTACTCAATCTACCTAAAATATAGATATTATTATGCAATCATGAAAGCAACAAATGGTTCTCCATGAAATAAAGATTAAAACAAATAAAATTGATTAGCTTGAAAAATAAATCCATCTAAACTACGTAAGATTCTCATTACATATTTTTCAATTATGAAAATAGACAAGATTCTCATCATTACAAATAAAATATTTAAATAAACTATCTCAACTACGGAGGATTTCCACCAACTCCTCTATTTGCTTGCCATTCATTAAACATTATGTTTGCCAATGTATCCCTCCAATCACTCCATTGATTTGATGGCTCTACTGTATTGATAAACTCTTCTCCTAAATCAGGTTGAGGTATAGGAGTGTTATTTAACTCGAACTCAAATGGATCCACTGGCATTTCACGTCTGATGAGGTTGTGGAGAAGGCAACATGCAGTAATAATACGACCCTGGGTCTTGATTGGGTAGTACGAAGCAGTTCTCAGTATTGCCCACCTAATCTTGAGTAACCCAAAACACCTCTCAATAACGTTACGAGCAGCAGAGTGCTTCATGTGGAAGAACTCCTCAGGATTCACTGGGATACCCCCTTCTCTCCATGTAGAGAGGTGATAGCGTTGCCCTCTATACGGTGCTAAGAAACCCTCTCCATTAGTGTAACCCGCATCTACAAGATAGTAGAAACCTGAAAACAAGTATGGGTTTCATATATATAAGTACTTTAAAAATTGGGCAATTAAGATGACATCAATTAACTATATAGATTCTTACCGGTCGGGACCTTCAAACCATTTGGTCTATTCACAGCATCTCTAAGTACCCTAGAATCTGAAGCTGACCCTTCCCATCCAGGCAACACATAAATGAATTGCATGTCTTGGGAACAAACACCCAAGACATTAGTAGCAATTTCACCCTTCCGTGTTCTATATCTTGGCTTATCTATTGCAGGAACACGAACCTAACATAAGTTCCATCTAGAGCTCCAAGACAATTCTACCAAAGATCAAAATAAAACCATATAATTTTGTCCATGGGACTTGAATGAGTACCTTTTTTTATTTTTTTATTTTAATAAATGTTTCAGAAACAAATTATAATTTCTGTTCTGTGAACGGTCCTAGCTGGGGCTGCTTTTATTGTTTTCTTGATTGCTTTTATTGCTCATATATGTTGTATATTCCACCAAATATACTTTCAGATTTTCTTGTTTGTTTCTTCTATAAGAATATAACTTGCTTCTTTGAAATTTCAACCATTGTATTTGCAGATAATTTCTTTTCTTCAGCAGAAAATGCAGATTCTCATGTTGCAGATAGAATACCCTCCATACCAGAAAATGTTAAAATGTTACTAATCAGGTTTATATTTTTCTCAATGTTAAAAGATACATTTAAAAACCCAAATATTTCTACCACTATTCAAATTCAATGTTTAGTACATGTCAACTCTCAATCAAAAGTGAATTTGGTTATGCTGTTTTTGTGAATCATCAAGTTCTTGAATACATTTATCCTAAATGATAACATTTTCCAAGTGAATTTTATCTTAATCGACAATGATTTGAAATGTAACTTTGTTTAACAGATTAAGTTATGGGAATCGGATATGAAAGGTTGGGATGATACCAGCTCATCTTTATGATGAGTTATGGGGCAAAAATCAAACTCATCTCACTATGCATTCACAAGTACACTTGAAGAAACAGTGAACATCCTTACATTTAAAAACTCAAAGACAAATCAATCACAATAAAAGGATTTCATAGTTTCAATAGAAAAAAATGACAGAAATGTAAATATTATATGTTCTGGTAAGCAGATCCATTTGAACATTTTTACTTGCTACAAGAAGAACATTCACAAATATCCACCTTAACAATGATCTACTTACTCCTTTTTTTTCCTCACCAGTAAGCATTTAATGGATCACAACAATTTTCATAAGCATGTTCCAATTGTTTATGATGAGTTCTCACTTGAACATAGAATCAAACACATGGTGGGCAGAATTTTAACAATAGAATCAAACACAGATCTAGTATATAATATACCAAAACCATCAAAACATTGTTACAACTACATAGATCTATGTATATATACAAATACATCTCATAAATTCTGACAATGATGATTTATCATAAATTTTGAACCAAACATGTAAAATTAATTGTTGAAATAGATAAAAATCTGGAAAAATAAATGGCGAAGATGATAATCTCACCGGTAATGAGAGTTTTTCAGTGCCGACGGTGAATTTTCCGGCGAATGAAGGTTGAAATCGGCACACCGAGATGGAGATCTTCACGAAGGTGGAGATCCTTTACGAAGGTGGAGATCTTCTCCCAGCAAAGCTGCTGAGTCTTTGCTGGGTAGAAATGATATGATTTGGCTTACATTTCTGCGTATATAGTGAGGGTAAAAAAGTCTTTTTATTTTATTTCCCAATTCAGGATATATAATTCCACCCCTACCCCATTATTAATAATCCTACAAATTTGTTGGATTAATTATCCATTGCATTAATAATCCTAAACTAAAATATTAAAACAAACATAGGATAGTTGGACCCACGTATTAATAATCCCAATCCTATTTTCTAATCCAGCCAATCAAACATGCCCTATTTGTTTTGAGAGATGGGGAGGGTACTACTATGTTTGATTCACAAGATTAATAGTGAAGGATTAATAATCCTATTAAATTAGTGTGGTATTCATTATCCAATTGGATTAATATCCATTGGATTAATAATCTCACCCCTACCCCATTACTAATAATCCTACAAATTTGTTGGATTAATTATCCATTGGATTAATAATCCTAAATCAAAATATTAACACAAACATAGGATAATTGGGCCCACGGATTAATAATCTCAATCCCATGCTCTAATCCACCCAATCAAACATGCCCTGGTATTACTAATACCCTTGGGGAGGGGATTCATAGTGAGGAGGTAGAGATGGTATTAGAAAAATAACGAGGGGATTAGAAATTTTTTTATTTTTTATATACTGGGAATTTTTTTTGAATATTAATGTTTAATTTTTTTATTTGTTTTATTATTTTATATAAAAATAATTTAACAATTCCTCACTATTAATCCCCTCACTATCAATCCCCTCACTATTAATCCCCCTCACTATCAATCCCCTCACTAACAATTCCCTCACTATGGTGGTGTTTGTTTGGGCTTTTTTGAGCCAACTTATGGCTTCTGGCTTTTGAAAAGCTATTTTGGACTGTTTGGTTAAACTTATTTCAAACAGCTTCTGATTCTAACAACTTATTTTAAGTCAAAAAAGCTGATTCTGAGAAACTACTCACCCCTTGCTTCTGATTATCAGCTTCTGCTGTGGACATGTTAATTTACGGTTATACTCTTAATTTTTTTTATTTTTTTATTTTTTAAAAATAGAAAAAGACCCAAATGGACTATAGAATATTATTACAGTATTATTTTTTATGAGAAATATAAACAAGTAGTGAATAATAAAAAATAAAAATTAATTGAAAAAGTTACTTCACAGCTTATTTAACAAACACTACTCAGCAACTTAAATCTATAATCCAACAGCTACACCAAACAAATTAACAGCTTCTGATTAAAGTCATAATCTATAATCTGTTAAGTTATAATCTATAATCTATAATCTATTTTAACAGTTACACCAAACGGGGCCTATTAATCCCCTTACTATCAATCTCCTCCATTCTATCTCTAAAAACAAACAACCCTCACTAACAATCCCCTCACTATTAATCCCCTCACTATCAATTACCTCCATTCTATCTCTGGAAACAAACGAGGCTAGAATTGTGATGCAAATTAAAAAATTTCAAAATTCATAATTAAGCATATAATTTAAAAAATTATTTTTAAAATTCATAATAAAAAATACAATTCTAAACTCGGGTGATTTGTAAAGTTCTAAATAAGTATATTTTTTAATTTTTTATAAAAAAAATTTGTAAAAAAGTAGAGAAAATTGGTAAAAAAGTAGAGAAGATACGTTGATAGAGCCTCCGTTTGATAAGTAGGTTGACTTTTTGACTTTTTTGTGAGGTGTCTTTCTATTAAATTACTAAACTACCCTTCATATATCATTACATGTCACCAACATTAACCAACTCTTCCACATCAGCCTCCGTTTGGACCGAATTTGCTTTTTGTTTTTGTTTTTGTTTTTTTTTTTCTTTTTGGTAAATGGATTTGGCATATTTGCATGTTTTTTTTTTCTTTTTAAATTTATATTTTTGTCATTTTTCTTTTTTTATACATTAGTTCTTCCTCTGTAATTTACATTGTTTGCCTTATTTATTTTTATTGGTATACAATAAATTTCTTTTATTTTAAAAAAATGAGTTTTCATGTGTTTTATTTATTTATAAATTACCTGGCAAATGGTAATTTATGTTTTTGTGTTTTTTTTTAAATGTTTTTGAATGAGGCATTTTTTTGTCGTTTTTATTTTTTAATTTACGTTTTTGTCATTTTTTTTATTTTTACACATTAATTTGTTTTTGGATTTGGCGTATTTTGCTTAAATTTGTTTTATTTTTTTATTTTTTTATTTTGAATTTGGCGTATTTTGCTTACATTTTTTTAAAAAAAATTATGTTTTTGTCATTTTTAATTTTGTTATACATTAATTAGTTCTTCTTCTTTAATTCACATTTTTTGCCTTATTTATTTTTATTGGTATACAATAAATTTTTTATTTATTTATGTGTTTCATTTATTTGTAAATTAGGTGGCGAATGGTACTTCATGTTTTCATGTTTTTTTTTTTAAATGTGTTTGAATGAGGCGTATTTTTGTAGTTATTTTTTTAAATTTACGATTTTGTCGTTTTTTTATTCACTCACATTAATTTGTTTTTATATTTCAAAAATGGATTTTCATGTGTTTTATTTATTTATAAATGACGTGCCAAATGCTAATTTCTGTTTTTTTTGTTTTTTTTTCCTTTTTTTTTGGATGAGGCCTATTTTTGTCGTTCTTTTTTTTTTAAATTTACGTTTTTGTAATATTTTTTTATTTGTATACATTAATTTGTTTTTATATTTGACAAATGAGTTTTTACGTGTTTTATTTATTTGTAAATGACGTGGCAAATGCTAATTTCGGTTTTTTTTTTTGTTTAGAAAAACTTTTTTTTTTTGGTCATTTATTTAAAATGATGTCAAAAATCATATGTTGCCGTGGCACATGACAAAAAATGAGGTCTGTTTTGGTTTTTTTGTTGTTTTGAACTTGTGTTTTTATGTTTTTAATTGACATCGCACATGATAATTTATGTATTAGTTTTTTTTTTTTCTTATTTGTTTCACCTTGTTTTCTTTTTCGAAAAGGCTTTTTTATGTAGTTTTTGGTTTTTCAAAATTAGGCACGTCAGCAACAGAAACGGGATATATTCCCGTGTAAACACATTCTACTGATACATGATAATATATTTGAATACAGTCTGTTCCACATGTGTTACCAATGTTACAACCCTACGAAAATTAGGTCGACTATTATATATTTCCTAACATTCCGTTATTACGCATGTAACATAACTTGTCACGTATGCGAAGGCGCACCAATGCTATATGCGGGTCCTCATCCCCAACCATTAAACCATCATCGTCATGTTCAACTTCTGGTATGGCATTTACTATTGTCATAGCCTCTTCCTCGTCACAAATTGGGTGAACAGTTGTTGGATTACCTGTGTTTCGCCGTATATAATTATGTAATGCCGTTGACGCACCTACTAACTGAACTTGCACATTTGCAAAGTCATACCGAGGCATGTCTCGAATAAACCCCCATCGATTTTTCCAGGCACCGAAAGTGCGTTCCACCACACTGTGTAACGAAGAGTGAACTTTGTTAAATACTTCCCTTGGCGTGTTTGCCGTCGTGTTCCGTGGAATACGTCGGTATTCTTGTTGGTGGTAACGGCTACCTCTGAATGGTGCTAAGTAACCTATCCGGTTTAGGTAGCTTGAATCCACAAGATAATATTTGCCTGCGGACAGGACAACAATGTATGACACCCAAAACAAACATTGTGCTTTTGGATCAAGTTACGCTGTTTCAGAAAAAATTATTGCCCCATAAATGCAGAATTCATGGCCATGTGTTACCTTCGTCAGGATGTGGAAATGAGACATTGTCATTTGTTAGTATCTCATTGAAGATGCGACTATCATGCATACTTCCTTCCCATCTGCACGAAATGAATATGAAACACATGTCAAAATCGACCGCGGCCATGATATTTTGCATGTGACAGTATTTCCTACCGAAATATGTTGCCGCATCTGCCCCATAATCCATGTACTTACATGTGTTCCGTTTATTGCTCCAATGCAGTCTTGCAAACAACCCAATTATTTTGTTGCTAAAACGAAGGCGCACCAATAGTTTTTTCCGTACGTGACGACCAGTTAATAATAAAAGCAAAGTAACTGACACTCTTTATTTATATGTCAATAATGTTTTTCAGTAGTACCTTGAACGGTACGTATTTCCGTCTAGATTGCACGTATGGATGTATACGATGCTGATTGTATGTGAGCCGGCAATGAACAACAGTGAACTCTTTCATGGAAGTTAATACGTTATGCACGTGCCGAGACACAGTATCCCCCGAATATTGGAACCATTCTTGGATTTTCCGATTTTGCTTCCCTTTCAACACATGGATAAACATTGCAACGCTTTCTTCAACAGCTAAGCCATGTGGACGTTGCGGTACTTGTAACCCAAAATCATTTACTAATGTCTCACACAAGGCGACAAAAACTTCCTTCGGCATGCAAACATTTTTCTCAAATCAACCCATATGGCCCGCATATAGTTCATATATCCATGCATTCCCGGTCAGTATAGAAGTGCGACATGGCATTTTAGCCAAGTGTTTTTGGTACCATTCTGTCGCATACTGGCATGCTTGTAGAAATGTGCAGTTGTGTTCTTGTTGCACATGGACCGCTATTTGATTAAGCATTTCCCTTAAGTCATCATTGTTGCTTCCATCCCAAGGATTCACCACGTCTTCATTGATGCGAAACCTACAAGAGTGGCACCCTTTCTGTAAGTAATGCACGTGATTCATTGACTCAAATTATTTAAAATATTGCAATTAGAAAATCTGACATTGTTTTTAATGTAAGTAATGTCGTCACCAATGTCATTAGTAACGCATAATTTCATATAAATTGCACAAATTGTAAACTTGTTCAAACAAAAGCATCATGGGGACCCTAGCGGTTACAACCAGAAAAGTTGACGTCAAAGTAAACTAACAGTTAAATTTGCAAAATATAGACATACATAAGCTACCAAGCAAATCCATCCATGCCTGTCTAAAAAATAGCCATACATTTAATTTAAACAGAAGCATCCCATTCATTTCACAAAAACCATGCACAACCATGCTTCCATTTCGTCAACCCA